TTACTGTTGCCTTAGTTGGATCTTTTTTGACTGGAGTTAGACACATTTTTTTTTGTTTATTTTGAGCTTTCTTTTTGGCTAATGTTTTTTGGGGGATTGCTTTAGCTACTGCTGCCTGATTTAATTTTTGTTTTGCAGATGAAGACGAAGTATTTTTAAATTTAGTTGGTTTTTTTTTGAGGATTGAAGAAGTTTTAGGGGAAGCTTTTATTGCTGTGGACTTAGATGATTGTTTTTTGAATGAAGCCTTTTTGGGAGTCTTTAGAGATTTTTTTTCTTAGGTTGAGATGTTTTTGGAGTTGCTCTAATTGTCGGTTGTTTTAATTGTTTCTTAGTTGGCATGGACTGGATTTTCTTGGACATTTTTGGACTTTTCTTTGTAGCTGAAAATGCCTTTGGTGTTGCTGGGGTCCATTTTGACTGTTTCCTGGCAGTTTTCCATTGACTATTTTTAGACTGTTTCAGAGTTTTGCTTGCCCTCAGTGGGGTGTTTTGTCTTGTTAGACTAGATGAATGAGAAGTCAATCCTTTCTTGAGAGTGGTCAATGTAATTTCCTTAGGTTTAACTTGTAGACTTTGTGATGACTGGACAGGTATTTTCTTTTTACTTGATGTCCTAGAATTAGATGTTGATTGGCTGGCTGCTTTGGCTGCTTTGGCTGCTTTGTTAGTCGGTACAGAAAGGTGTGCAGCCCTAGCAGGTAGAGACTTCGATTTTTGAGTACTGAAAGGTGATGATGAAGCCCTTTTGGGGGATCTATGGACAGGTGAGGCAGAGGTATGAGAATGGGCTTGAGGTTTCCCCGAGAGCTGGGTGAATGAAGATGTGCTTTGTGATGTCCTGGCAGGTGAGCTTTGGACTGCTCGACTATTGGTTGTCTTTCCTGTTGCCTGATGTGTGATTACGGGCACTCACTGAACTGCAGGGGCAGAGAATAGAAGATATTACCAAGAGAGGCACTGAATCAATTATTGTTTTATATTTTCATTTTAGTTGCAGTAGCTGGTCTGTTCTTTAGGAAGAGTTTTGGTTTTGAATGTATTTTAATTTAGAATAAATTGCAATACAAACTTAAAATAGAGCAAGACGGTGAAATCAGAAGTCTCACACTTTACTCCCCCAACAGAAAGTTCAACTAGCAATTATCCACAGACTATAACATCTTTATAAAAACCTCAGTACTTGGAAACAGGCCTGGGAAACCTGGATAATCCATAGAACTGGATGAAAATAAATTAAATTAAACTAAATTAGAAGGGTAAGAAGGATGGTCTCCCTTGAAGTGTGCTGCCCTTCCCCACCCCCAAGTTAGTACAATGCCACACAGACAGGACTTCCCTGGGTCCACGGTTTCCACAAGGGAGAAAGAGAATGGGAAATACTGGGTGTAATGGCTTGGCTAGACCTCCTAGAGTCAGGTAGAAAAAAATAAAGGAAGCAGGGCTCACAGAGACCAACTTGAGGATCTTGATGATACCTCTGTTTTGCTACCAGTTGTGGTACCCTATCAGAGATATCAGCTAACTACACAGCCTACCTGCAAAGCTGAGCTGTTTACTTTCAGAGACATGGTGGGAAGTTCAACTGGCTTAAATCCCTAAACAGCTAGTCTGCATGCCTAGCCTTGCCCAGGCAGGGAGACAACTGCCTCTGTACGTTTCAGAGAAGTGTGCAGATAGTTTAAAGAATTTTAAGAGTGGATCAGCTTAGCCAAAAGTCTGTCCATCAATCTCCATGCATTTCAGAGAAGCACAGGGGCTAGGTTTGCTTGAATTGGGAGGCCAAGCAGCAGCTCTACCGAGTCCAAATGCCCACCCAGTGACCTTGCCTTGGCAGGGAGATGCCTACCTCTGTGCCTATTGGAGAAACATGGGGCTAAATTCTCTCAATCATTAAGGTCATATACCAGCTTGATTCAGCCAAAAGCCCACCACATGTCTCTGCCCAAGCAGAGAGCTGCCCACCTCTGCACATTTTGGAGTGTAGGAATTATTAGACTTGCTTCAGCTGGAAAGCCAAAGAGTAGCTCACCCCTGCCACAGAGTTCACTCCACAGCTCTGCTGAAGTAAGGAATGTCTGCTTCCATGCACTTTAGCCAGTTGTAGCGGTTAGACCTGATTGACCCACAAGGCCAAAGAGAGGCTCAGTTCAGCTACAAAGCCCGCCTCCATGTGCCAGCAAGGCAGGGAAGCAATAGTCTATCATGCATTTCTTTTTAAAATTTCTTTCTTTCTTTTTTTTTAATGGAGTCTTGCTCTGTCACCCAGACTAGAGAGCAGTGGTGCAATCTCGGCTCACTGCAACCTCCACCTCCTGGTTCAAGTGATTCTCCTGCCTCAGCCTCCTGAGTAGCTTGTATTACAGGAGCCTGCCATCACACCTGGCTAATGTTTGTGTTTTAGTAGAGATGGGGTTTCACTATGTTGGCCAGGCTGGTCTCGAACTCCTGACCTCAGGTGATCCACCCACCTCGGCCTCCCAAAGTGCTGGCATTACAGGCTCAATGATACATGTCTATGGAGAATAGCCTCTGGCCCCATATGTTGAAAACACTTTGCCTAAACTTGGACCCCAGCCTATCTATCTCTGTCCAACTACAGGTCTTAACTAGCAAATCACCCAACCAGGGAATACATCCCGTTATCAGTTTGACCAAATGCCATCACAGTAACTAGCCATCAGCTTTGCTTGATAGTAGAACCCAGCCATTGGTCTTCTGAGAGAGTGGGAGTGGGGCACAGCCAGCAGCCCAACCTAACATCAGAGCAAAGACAGCAGTTCTGCCAAATAGATAATTCACAACAAACTCCCTTCCTGGCATTGTCACCAGCTGGCCCTTCAGAGTCACAGGTTAAACTAAATAGAGAAGGTCTATCCCTGCCAAGGAACACTCATAAAAGCCAGAAGAGGTGGTTGTCTCCTCATTTGCATATATAACAATGCAAGGACACAAGAATTATGAAAATTTGGGAATTATAGTAAGTCCCCCCCTCCCCCAAAAAACTAATAAAGCTCAAATAAAGGACCCTAAAGAAAGAGATCTATTAAATAACTGATGATAAATTCAGCCTACTCCTCTTAAAGAAGTTCAATGAACTGCAAGAATATGTCATAGATTATTAAATAAAATTTGAAAAATAATACACAAAGTGAGAAGTTTGACAAAAAAATATAAGCAATAAAAAGGCCAAACAGAAATCCTATAAATGAAGACTAAATGGAAAATTCAATAGAAAGCTTCAATAGAAGACTCAATCAAGCAGAAGAAAGAATCAGTGAACTTAAAGATAGCATATTTGAAATTATCCAATCAAAGTAGCAAAAAGTCAAAAGAAAAAAGAATAAAGAAAGTCTATGGTAATTATGGGACACCATAAGGAGACCCAAGTTTGGCATAATAGGATGGAGAATAAAGAAAAAAAGGGCCAGAAAGCAGATTTAAAGAAACAATGACTGAAAACTTCCTTACTATGCAGCCATAAAAAAGGATGAGTTTGCGTCCTTTGTAGGGACATGGATGCAGCTGGAAACCCTCATTCTCAGCAAACTATCTCAAGAACAGAAAACCAAACACCGCATGTTCTCATTCATAGGTGGGAACTGAACAATGAGATCACTTGGACTTGGGAAGGGGAACATCACACACCGGGGCCTATCATGGGGAGGGGGGAGGGGGGAGGGATTGCATTGGGAGTTATACCTGATATAAATGACAAGCTGATGGGTGCTGACGAGTTGATGGGTGCAGCACACCAACATGGCACAAGTATACATATGTAACAAACCTGCACGTTATGCACATGTACCCTAGAACTTAAAGTATTAAAAAAAAAAAAAAAAAAAAAAAAAAAAAGACAAAAAAGTTGCCGAGGATGAGGATGTGGAAAAAAAGGAACACTGTGGTGGAAATAAAAATTAGTATAGTTATTTTGGAAAACTGTATGGACCATCCTCCTACAGAATTAATATATGATCCAGTAATTAATTCAATTTCTGGAATTCCAAACCAAAAAGATTTAAAATCATGTATGTTGAAGAGAAGTCTGTACTCTCACATTTATTGCAGCACTATTTACAATAGTCAAGTTATGGAATCAACTTACGGGTCCACCAACAGATAAATGGATAAAAATGCTTTAAATATACACAATGAAATACCATTCAGCCTTAAAAAAGAAAGAAATTTTGTCATTTGTGACAATGACTGATTTGGAGAATATTAAAGCTAAGTGAAGTAAGCCAATCATAGAGAGACAAACACTTTGTTTTCACTCATGGGAAGAATCTGAAACAAACTCATAGAAGCAGAGAGTGGACTGGTGGTTATAGAGGCTGGATGGTGGAAAGATGATGGTCAAAGGACACGAGCCTCAAAGAGGAGAAATGTTTTTCTTTGTGATGCATTGCACAGCATGGTGAATATAGTTAATAATAGTGTATTGTACATCTTGAAATGGCTAAGAGATTAAATTTCAAATGTTTTCACCACAAAAAGATTGGTATTTGAAGTTATAAATATGTTCGTTAGGTTGATGTAATTATTCCACATTATATTCATAAATCATAAAAACGCTTTGCACTCCATATGTGTATAAAATTATAAATAGCCAATTTATAATAATTTTTTAAAAATTGAAATAATGGGGCAAAAATGTGATAGAGAAAGGACTGGGGCATTACTTTAAATGCTTAGAGCATTTACTAAGAAACTTCAAGGAAATACAGAATTGTGGTTTGAAGAAATCAAATTAATTGATTTGGTAAAATATTATGATTGGGAGGGGGGAGGGATTGCATTGGAGTTATACCTGATGTAAATGACGAGTTGATGGGTGCTGACGAGTTGATGGGTGCAGCACGCCAACATGGCACAAGTATACACATGTAACAAACCTGCACGTTATGCACATGTACCCTAGAACTTAAAGTATAATAATAAAAAATAAAATAAAAAATATATTATGATTAAGTCTCTGAAAACCTGTTCTTTCCTTAAAGATTCCAGAGTGAAAAATTATTGTCCTTGTTCTGTGAATTAACAAAATAAACAAATAGTAAGTCAAGCAAGTTATATAAACCTCAAAGTATTACAGGTAAGTCCAGTTTAGAAATTATATAAAAGAGAAGTATGTGGTGTTGAATTCAGAACATTGGATATAAAAACATTTGACAAGACTAAATTTCTTCTGCTTTTTCTGGAGCACTGATTGTTGTGTAAAGACTTGTATAGGGAAATTATAGTGATGTCAGAGGAGGAAAGTATCCTTGGAATGAAGGATGGTTGGTTAACTAGAATTAACAGACATTTAAATACATTTAAAGACATTTAAGATCTATTTTTTTAATCTATAAAAATAAAAATATATAATTTTTTAATCTATAAAAATCTAATGACAATTATAGACTGTAATTCTAAAAATAGTGGATACTATGCCCTCTGATCAAAGAGAAATACAAAATCCTAGTGACTAATTTATAATTAATAAGGAGGAACAGAAGAGAGTGTTGTCGTTTTGAATTCTGCAAGAGATACAAAAGGGAAAAGGAAAGGAGCATAAAATCTGAGACCCAGGCTTACTCCGAAAAGCACATCAAAATCTAATAAGTCATGTTTCAGACTTATTAGATTGTCATAAGTCATGTTTCAGATGAGTAAAAATGTGAAATATAACAAGTGTTTACTTCAGATGGCAATAGAAGAGACCATCCTTCTTGTCACTGCTTTTATGACTTAAGTGAGATTATATATTACAGTTTTGGTCATGAAGATGTAAGAATAGAACCAGAGTGATTCAAAAACAAATTTGAGAGATGGGTAAGCTTACCCCCACTTTACACCTTTGAGACTTCTACTTCTCAAGGTCCATGTTAACATCAAATGGAAGTGCTGGGTTAACATGGACATTAAGAAGTGGAAGTCTCAGAATTCTGTTTGCAAGTTTAGTTCTATTCCTCTATATCCATTTGGAGATTTCCTTATACCTTACCCTCCTCAATACACAGCCATTCTTTCATCTACTTTTCTTTTTCCTTTTCCCCTCTCTTCCATATCTCCCTTTGCTTTGACCTTTCTCCTCAAATTCCGGGTGATTTTAAATAGACCTATTTCCATGGATGTTAGAAGCAAAAGGTAATTGTTCCTGTTTCTTATCATCCCATGTGTCTCTATCTTGTTTTAAAAAATACAGTGTAATAATCTCACTTTGAACCTTATCTCAGTACGTAGCTCTCAATTTTAAGTAGTTCTTCCAGTTTTCAAGTGTATGAAATCTTACCTGGAAACAAATGGCAAAGGCCATGATGAGTCCACTCAGGATTAAGGCCTTTATCCTGTCCTTTTACCCCCTGTAAAAAAAGAAACAGGAAGAAAAAACATTACCTGCTTGAAAATGAGAGAATGACTTTAACCAAACTGCTAAGTGATACCAAATACAAATTTCAGTGGTATTTTAAGAATAAAGAAAAAATATTTTTCTGAAGTTAAACTTAAAATGTGGATATGAAATTAAAACATACAGATACTTTTAAAAAAATACCATCATTCTTTGCAACTACTAAAAAATTAGGTTTTCCCATTCAGTTTGCTAATGAGATTAATATTTTTATTTAAATTCTCACCTGAAGAAAGCATTTCATCTTTGGTCAAGAATTGTACATAACTAAGGAGTTCTTCACCCACCTAGCACCCACTCAGTGCTACACACATCCCACTTGCTATCCCCTCCCAACTCCCATCATTTAGGATAATCCCAGTGGTTGTGGGATAAAGAGAATTATAGGAAGGTACATGTTGTACTATTAAATTCAGGGGTCAGCTTTGTAGAACTCAACTCCTATATGTATGATGCATGACATGGTGTACTATATATTATTATGTTCCAAGAACAGGTTCCATGAGATTCTAAGATTCTATGATGTTATTTGTGTTTTCCTTTCTTCTTCCATCTAGTTTATAAATTTTAGTCTATAGGATGCTGTACATGTTCTTCTGAAAATATTTTATAAAACCTTATTTTATTTTTTTGGAAGATGGAGTCTCGCTCTGTCACCCAGGCTGCAGTGCAGTGGCATGATCTCGAATCACTTCAACCTCTGCCTCCCGGATTCAAATGATTCTCATGCCTCAGCCTCCTCAATAGCTGGGATTACAGGCACCCGCCACCACCACACCTGGCTAATTTTTGTATTTTTAGTAGAGATAGGGTTTCGCCACGTTGGCTAGGCTCTTCTCCAATTCCTGACCTCAAGTGATCAGCTTGCCTTGGCCTCCCAAAGTGCTGGTATTACAGGTGTGAGCCACCATGTGTGACTCATACTTTTCTTATTGATAAGTCATCATTGTTAGCTGACTTACAAATTACAATAAATGTATTGAATAATCAAACCTATTTCTGACCTGTGCTAGTCTAATTCTGAGGAACACAATGTGGATTTCCTAATATGACGGTAGTATTGGTGGAAAATGGACACTGTTTCCATGGTGCCAGATTATTAAGACAAGTATACAGAACAAAGGGCTTCTGGTACCAGAATTTTGTGAACGAAAAAGGGAAAGTAAAGGCGGCCTGTAGTTAACTTAGGGATGACCTTAGGGAAACTCAATAAGTTTCACAAAATCTCTAATCGCATGTAGCTTGTGACAGTGATGGTAGGGTCATCAGTTTCAGTGGCCTTGGTGCCAACAGATCCATTTTAGAACCATAATCAGAAAATTTTGAAATCACTTGGTGTTTTTCTCTGAGTCTGAACTGAATCAGTTTACATCATGATATTTCCCCACAAAATAGAATGTCTTCCTGTGTTCCCCCTTTCAGTAGATGGTATATTATTTACCTAGTAGTATAATTTGGAATCCTGAGTCAGTCTTGACTTTTCTTCTTATCCTCCCATGTCCATCAGTCACTAGAGCCTCTCTACATTTTACTTCCTAGATAGTGTTTTGAATCAGTTCACCTCTGATCATCTTCATTAGCAGCATCCTATCCAAGTTAACATATCTCATCTTTTACTTGGAAATAGTAATAGTTAAATCTGATAATTAAGAAACTTCGTAAATTAACACTATGGCTTCTATGTTTATTACTCATCTTAAGAAAACAATGGTTCAATTTCTTATTTATGGTTATAGAGTGACATATATATTGTGAAATGTCTCAGAAGTTTTGGAAATTGATCAAGTACATTTTACAGTTTTCCTCAATATTCTAAAGTTTCATAGAATTGAAGAATAAACCAGTATTTGCAATAACTTAAAAGGAGGATATCAATAATCTTTTCTCCATCGGGTTAAACACATTTAAGCACTTACGCTCAATGTTCCTATGTTAGGGGAATTTGTGAAATGTGTCTACCCAACTGCATCCCCATTCCAACTCCTCACAACCCAGTGGACCTAGAATCTCCCAAATTTTGGAGAGCGTGCATTACATTATCTTCTAATCCACTTTCTGAATACTTTTTCAATTGCTGTGACCATGCATATGAGAAATGTAGGTAATTTCCATTTGGCATAATAGTTTTCCTAATTCCATAGTGATTTATTTATTATTTTCACATATTCATCTATATTATACCACACAGCAGAACAATGGTACATGTGCTGGTTCTGAACAACTATAGCTGTGAGAAATCACCAGTGTACTTAAGAACAAAAAAAGCAAAAACTTTTGTAAGGCATTCCTAGAGTAGTAAAAAGGAGCACTGAACTTGGGATCAGAATGCCCAGGTTTGACTCTCAGCTCTGTCGTTTTATTACCATGTGAGCTTGGTTAACTTACATATGAATGCTATGTTTCTCACCTATAAAAAGAGACTAATTCATGTACTATTTACTGGAATAAGTTGATGTCAAATTGAATTAGAATACTCACAGAAATGCTTTGCAAACTCTATAGCACTACATAAAAATATTAAGCTTTAACTAACTTGCGCATTGAATTTTCCCAATAATTTTTTGTTTATAGGTATATTTAATGTAATTTTTAAACTCATAATTCCTGAATTTGGAATGACAACTTTTATTTATTCATTCAATAGATATTTATTGAGTATCCATTTTTTTTTTTAGCAGGCATTGTGGATTCAATAGGAAACAAGACAGGCCCAGTTCCTGCCATGAGAGTATAATAATTTATTGGGAAGAGGTATAACTAACAAAAAAGAGTGACTGTGATCAATTGATCTCTGATTAACAGAACAAGTATGCTTCCACTCAGCCATTTCTTTTGGACAAACTTTCTTCATTCACCTTTTTTTTTCCCAAGAACTTCACAAAGATCAGAAGTCAGAGCTTGGCTGCACTTATATCACTGGGTGCCTGCGTGATAATCAATATCATAATAAGTGTTGTGCAACAACAATATGCAATGTTTTTTTTTCTGAGAATTGAGGTAATCACTTTAAAGTTAACAAAATTATGTATACTTATACTATTACACTGTTATGACTCATAATAAAATTTGCCTCCTTTCTCTTTTACACTAAACACATACTCTTCTTTATGAAGTCAATATTATCCTAGGAGTTCCAACTTATGTTTTTATCTTGATTGAATATTGGAATGTAGTAGAAAGAATGTCAGAAGCTAAGGACTTTGGTGTGCATATTCCCCAAATTTGAGTTTAAATTTAACAATTGTGTAAGAAAGGTCCTTATATGGACTTTTTATCATATAACATTATAAGCTAAATGTTTATATAAAAATTATTCATGTCTTCGCCAGTGTGAACTCAAGTATATTTAGAAAGTTTTAGGAAAGTAGACCAAGCTTCTTGTGATCAAAAATAAAATGCATTGTTTATTAACATGCTATATATGGAGAAAAGAGATTATTAACTATTTCATATTTAAACACCAATCAAGTTTAAATAAAATGTTGAATACCTGGAAGTATTCTTATCAAATTATTGGGTATTTTAATATGACCCTAGATGTATTTCTGTTAGGTTGATTTTTAAAAAGTAGGATAATTTCTGACATGGGATTTATATCCAATAATGAGAGAAGGGAGTTTGAGGTCAGCTTACTCATCTGTCTTAAGATGTCAAGTTTAGGAAAACAGGGCAGTATAAAATGATTTGATAGTAGAAAATTTGAAAGGAAAACAAATGTGTATATATATATACACACACAAAGCATTCTTTGTGTAACTGAATAGTACTTTGTAGTAACTTTGAGCTTCCTGAGGTCTTAACAAATATTAAAGGTATACCCTTGGCTTTACAACTAGATCATATGTTCCTGACGGTGCCTTTAATTTGAACTTTGGAAGCCATTTCATAAATTCAGCATATCTTTCTGTCAAGAGAGGCTGATAATTTTCAAAACAATTAAATCCAACTCCTTTTAACAGTTTGTCCTTCAGTTTATAATTTACTTCTGTCTTTTTGCATTTTATTATTAGTAGCAAGAAGAAGCCAGACATACACTTAATGCTTTGGAAATCTTATCTAGATCATGCAATTCACCAGGTACATTTTCTACTTTCCCAGTAGCTTCAGGAAACAAAGATACCTCTCCAGTTTCCAATAACATGTACCTCACTTCCTTCTGACCTATCACCAGCAGCGACCTTAAAGTTCATACATTTCTACTGAAAGTCTGCTCGAGGCAATTTAGGATTTCTCTAACATGCTTCTTAACATACTTCCAGCCTTTATTCACTGCCTGGTTTCACAGCCACTTCCATATTTTTGAGTACTTTTGTACTTTTAAGTACCAAATTTTGTATTATTTATCTATTGCTGCATGACAGTAGATGCTTGATGGCCACATCTGCAAAATATTGTAGTGGAGGTCCTAGCTAGAGCAGTAACGAATTAAGAAAAAAAGAGTGAACAAAGCTAAAATTCTCATAATTGTAGATAGTAGGTTTGTGTCTGTAAAAGATTTAGACAAATGTACAAGAAAATTATCAGCATTACTAAGCATCACTATATTACATGGTCAATGTTTGAAATCAATGATATTTCTATATATCAGCAATGAAAATATAAAATTTTAAAATAATTAACATTTCTAATATAAAAATCAAATACCTATGAAATCTAATGAAATATGTTAAAGCTCTACACTGAAAAATATGAAACTTTACTGTATTAGTTTTCTGTTCTGCCATAACAAATGACCACAAACAGAAATTTATCACATTATAGTTCTTAAAGTCACAAGTCTAGTGTGAGTTTGTTTTTTATTATTATACTTTAAGTTCTAGGGTACATGTGCATAATGTGCAGGTTTGTTACATATGTATACATGTGCCATGTTGGTGTGCTGCACCCATTAACTCGTCATTTACATTAGGTATATCTCCCAATGCTATTAACAGACTAAAACAAAGGTTTCAGCAGACCGCATTCCTTTCTGAAGGCCCTGGAAGAGAATATTTCCTGCTCATTCAAGATGTTGACGGAACAGTTCCTTGTGGTTGTTCAAGTAAGAGGTTCATTATGTTTTGTTTTAGCTGTAAACTGGGGAATTTTAGTTTTTGGAGACTGTGCATTTCTTGACTTATCCCTTTCCTCCACCATCAAAGCTGGATGGTCCTTCTCATGTCACATCTCTCTGACTCACTCTTCTGCCTTTCTTTTCCAGTTTTAGGGACTAATGTGATTGGGGTCACTTGGGTAATCTATGATAATCCCTCTATTTTAAGGTTCTAAACTTCAATCACATTTGCAAAGTTCCTTTTACCATGAAGGATAAAATATTCACAGGTTGCAAGAATTAGGCATAAATATCTTCTGGGGATGGGTACTGTTCTGTCTATCACAATGATTAAGCAGATTTAAAATGACCTAATAAAGCAGAGAGATCTACCATATTCATAAATTGGAAGACAATATTTTAAAAATGTGAATTCTTCCCAAACTGAACTGCAGACCATTTTGTAACTGGTAGGTCAAGTCTTAAGTTTATATCAAAATGCAGAGGCAATGACTCAATAATTTATACTACCAGTTGACAAATTTTTTGTTCATATATGGTAATTGGGTCAGTATGCTATTCGTGCAAGAATAGTCAATTAGATCAGTGGAATAGAGAAACGTACACATACTTTTCTGATTTATGACAAAGGAGGAAGAAACAGAAACAGGTTGCCCTTTCAATAAATTAATCATGATCATTTACATATCTCTGTGGAAAAAAACAAAAGGAATCTTGACCCCCACCCCATCTCACATGATCTACCAAAAATTTAATTTGAATATATTATATATCTAATACAAATCTAATAGTAAATAAGGTGCAATTGACATCTATAGGGATGTATCATCAAATGATGGCTTTATCCCCTTGAGTCATCAATTTGGAGGCCTGGGTGTTGATATTATCTTCAGTGGTAGAGTTAGAAGCTAAAGATTCCGAGGATGAAGTTGTAGCACATGACAGAGCTGTGGCGACAGCAGAAGTGGGAGTTGTCACACCCAAGGATGTAGACATGATACATTCACTGGTGGTGGCATCAATCCCTAGGGTTGTGGCACTTATTGCAGTTGTGTCTCCAACAGGTGTGGAGACTATGGCAGCAGCAGTGGTGGCAGCAATGGGAGGGAATGTGGAACCTGTGTTTGCTGAAGTTGTAGGGGTGGCTTGAGTGGTGGAATCATCTATGCCTGGGAGGGTGGCATCATTCTCTGTGTTTGTTTCAGTTTCTATGTCCTCTGTGGTAAAATCAGAGGCAATGCTGAAAGAAGATGCTAAAAAGGTATTGGATCCAGCCCTTGGGTTTTTGGAGTTTATAGCGCTGGGAGAGGCAGACCCTTGGAGTGTGGATTCCACTGAAGCAGCCTCTGAGGCTGTACAGATAGATGCTGGGGCAGTTGCAGTGGAAGTAGACACTGTGGATGTAGCACCTGTTGCTGAGTTAGTAATCAGTGTCATTAGGGTTGTGGTAGCAGTGACTGAGAATAGAGTTTTAGGTGTGCTGGTGGTTGCATCTGATCCCTGAATTGCAGTGGCAGTTGAACTAGTTTTAGCTAATGACACAGAGGTTTTGCTTTTGGATATAGTACAAGTGATTATGGCTAAATTAGTAGTAGCTCCAAGGACAGTGGGGATTACACTGGTTGGGGCACCAGTTGCAATGTCTTCAATGCCTGATGACCTTGTCATAAATTTTGGTTTATGACAGTGTGGTTTGCAGGGTCATGGATGTTTACGAGATATAAATTTGCCAAGCTGGAGTGGATGAGTTTGGTGCAAAAGATGCTAGTGCTTTACTTAGGGCCTGACTTATCAACTTTGGACAGATTTTTTTTCTTTAATTACTCACTTATCAATTGAAGATAATTAGATGTCTTCTTTGTTACAATGAAGGAGGATACAGATTTGACAGGTACAGACTTTGATTTTGGGAACTCAAAGGTGAGATGAAGCTCTTTGTGTACATTTACAGAGTGATGATACAAAAGCATATGAACCCGTGTAACTTCCTATTGAGGTGGGTGGATGGAAATCTTTTGTAATGTCCAGGCGGTGGAGTTGTGGATTGGTCAACTGCTAATTTTCTTCCTTGTTGTCTGGTGTTATGATTGCTGAATTTCTCTGCACTCTAGGAAATTATATTACTGAGTGAAACTCTTGATTAATTATCATGTAATATTTTCATTACTGCTCTGTAAAGTGGCCTTATTTTTAAATTAATTTTATTTTTTATTTTAAGTTCTGTGGTACATGTGCAGAACGTGCAGGTTTGTTACATAGGTAAATCTGTGCCATTGTGGTTTGCTGCACTCATCACCTAGGTATTAACATGAGATATTTCAATACAAGCATGCAACACATAACAATCACGTAATGAAAAATGGGATATCCGTGTCCTCAAGCAAACATTTCAATTACACTCATTTAGTTATTTTAAAATGTACAATTAAATTATTATTGATTATAGTCACCCTAATGGGCTATCAAATATTAGGTCTTATTTATTCTTTTTTTTTTTTTTGTAACCAATAACCATCCCTATCTCCCTTCCACCCTGCCACTACCATTCCCAGCCTCTGGTAACCATCCTTCTATTCTCTATGTCCATGAGTTCAATTGTTTTGATTTTTAGATTCTACAAATAAGTGAAAACGTGATGTTTGTCTTTCTGTACTTGGCTTCACTTAACATAATGATCTCCAGTTCCATCCATGCTGTTGCAAATGGTAGGATCTCATTCTTTTTTATGGCTAAATGGTACTTGATATGGTTTGGCTGTGTCCCCACCCAAAATCTCATCTTGAATTATAATTCCCATAATCCTCATGTGTCAAAGGCGGGACTAGGTGGAGGTAATTGGATCATGGGGATGGTTTCCCCCATGCTATTCTAGTGATGGTGAATAAGTCTCATGAGATCTGATGGTTTTATAAGTGACTGGCATTTCCCCAGCTTGCACTCTGTCCTGCCATCCAGTGAAGAAGGTGCCTGCTTCTCCTTTGCCTTCTGCCATGACTGTAAGTTTCTTGAGGCCTCCTAGCAATGTGGAACTCTGAGCCAATTAAACCTCTTTCCTTTATAAAGTTGTCAGTCTCAGTTAGTTCTTCATAGCAGTGTGAGAACGGACTAATACAGTACTCCACTGTGTATAAGTACCACATTTTCCTTATCCATTTTTATGTTGATGGATGCTTAGGTTGCTTCTAAATCTTGGCTATTGTGAATAGTACTGCAACAAACATGGGAATGCAGATATCTTTTTGATATACTGATTTCTTTTTTAGGGGATATATACCCAGCAGTGGTATTGCTGGATCATATGACAGCTCAACTTTTATATTTTGAGGACCCTCCAATCTGTTCTCCATAGTGGTTATACTAATTTACATTCCATAAGACAATGTATGATGATTTTCTTTTCACCACATCCTCTCTAGCATTTTTTATTCCCTGCCTTTTGGATAAAAGCCATTTTAACTTGTGTAAGTTGATATCTCACTGTAGTTTTGATTTGCATTTCTTTAATGATCCATAATGTTGATCCCCTTTTCATATACCTGTTTGCCATTTATATCTCCTTTTGAGAAATGTCTATTAAAATCTTTTGCCCATTCTTTAATCGAATGATTAGATTTTTTTCCTATAGAGTTGTTTGAGCTCCTTAATATTCTGATTATTAATCTGTTGTCAGATGGATAACTTGCAGATATTTTCTCCCATTCTGTGGGTTGTCTCTTCACTTTATTGGTTGTTTCCATTGCTGTGTAGAGGAGAGATTTTTAACTTAATGTGATCCTATTTGCCCAGTTTTGCTTTGGTTGCCTGTGCTTGTGGTGTATTGCTCAAGAAATTATTGCCCAGACCAATGTCCTGGAGATTTTCCCCAATGTTTTCTTGTAGTACTTTTGTGGTTTGAGTTCTTAGATTTAAGTTTTTAATTCATTTTGATTTGATTTTTGTATATGGTGAGAAATAGGGGTCTACTCTCTTTTCTTTCCTTTCTTTTTTTTTTTTTAATTTTTTTCTGAGATGCAGTATAGCTCTGTCACCAGGCTGAAGTACAGTGGCACAATCTTGGTTCACTGCAAACTCCACCTCCCAGGTTCAAGTGATTCTCCTGCCTCAGCCTCCCGAGTAGCTGGGACTACAGGTGCACACCACCACGCCCAGCTAATTTTTTTTTTTTTTTTCGTAGATACAGGGTTTCACCATGTTTGCCAGATGGTCTGTATCTCTTGACCTAGTGATCCACCCTCCCTGGCCTCCCAAAGTGCTGGGATTACAGGCATGAGCCACCACACCCAGCCAGGGGTCTACTTTCTTTCTTCTGCATATGAATATCCAGTTTTCCCAGCACCATTTATTGAAGAGATTGTCTTTTCCACGGTATGAGTTCTTGGCACCTTTGTCAAAAATGAACTCACTCTAGGTATGTGGATTTGTTTCTGCATTCTTTATTCTATTCCATTCATCTATGTGACTGTTTTTATGCCAGTATCATACTGTTTTGGTTACTATACCTCTGTACTATAATTTGAAGTCAAGTAATGTGATTTCTCCAGTTTTGTTCTTTTTGCTTAGGATAGCTTTGGCCATTCTACATTTTTTTGTGGTTACGTATAAATTTTAGGTTTTTTTTTTCTTCTATTTCTGTGAATAATATCATTGGTATTTTGATAGGGATTGCATTGAATCTGTAGATTGTTTTGGGTAGTATGGGCATTTTCATAATACAGATTCTTCTAATCCATGAACATGAAATATCTTTACATTTTTTGGTGTCCTCCTCAAGTTCTTTCAATAGTGTTCTACAGTTTTCATTATAAAGATCATTTACTTCTTTGGTTAATTTCTTGGTATTTAACGTTATGTGTGGTTATTGTAAATAGGATTAGGTTTAAATTTCTTTTTCCCACTTTTTCAATTTTGGCATATAGAAATGCTACTGATTTTGTATGTTGATTTTGTATCATGTAAATTTACGAATTTTTTTTTTTGTATCAGTTCTA